GTCTCTGCACATGAGACCTGTACGATGGTGCTTTACATTCTCACATAAACATTCATATTTCTTATTATTTCAGTCTTTAAGATCTTGATCCTGTAGAAAAACACAGACAGTATTTCTAACTGTAGTGTTCCAACAATAATAACTTTAATAACAGAAACTGTGGGATAAATAAGCAAAATGTGACTGACATAACCATTTCATCTTCTAGATAGCCTCACTGTAAATATGTCGAGACAGTCGAGCCAAGCACAGTGATTCTTAATCTTGTACTATCCGTCAGAGATATATTTTGCCCTATCCTATATGGATACAGAGATGAATTATTTAACCTACCTCTATTATGAAGTACTCACCTTCTCAAACGGTAAAGACAGAAACTTAACTAAGGTTTTAAAGTTGCTATTGGCTACAATTGTCGAAAGCTATTGTTGATGACAGTCAGAGCAAGCATGCAGCTCCTTCCTTCCTTTCACCCTGGGAACTCCCCCAGCTCTTCATTTATTTTCAGGACAGTGTCCATTTCCAGTCTTTGAGTCTCTTTCATTTAGGTGATGGAAAAGTCTCTTCTTGACAAAAATTTCACTTGGTTTAACTGGACTGGTTTTTCACGTGTGTGTGTATGTGTGTGTGTGTCTGGATGGCTTCGAGTTTCTTCTTACTCTTTCAGTTGGGAAGATTAAAAACTAGACACCAAATTCTAGCAAAGATTTTGCAGGCTCAGCTTTAGCCAAACCATTATGTATGTTGATAGGCTAAAACTTAGCCTGGAGTGTTTCTCTGGAGGTCAAAATTTGTACTTTCATGGTCCATAGACTTGTGTTGATATTGCTCTGGCTAAGTGGGAATTCTGTTGGTACATTTCAGGGGGAGGCGGTATATTACCCTGTGCCTGCTCTGCTGTACCCAGTTCTTGGCAGCAATCTTAAGGCCTACAAGGCACTCATCAGTCATTGGAGAACACATGACTTCTCTTTCCTTTGTACATCTGAGGATGGGAAATGTTCCTGCCAGTGGACAATTTATCCTGTAACATTTCTTAGGCCATCTGAGTGTTGAACAGTGCTCTGTGCTCACAGTTCACCAAGGTGCTTGTCTACAGCCTCTTTCCATCAGGCAGAGTTTCCAGATAACCCCACGTCAGGGAGTGTGTGTCTCACTTTCCCTTACCAGCCCCCAACAAGGCGCATACACAGCAGAGATGCTGGCTTTCCCATCCTTTGCTTTCGGTTTCTGAATCCCACTCCTCTTTCTCTGTGACTATACACTTTTCAGAGGCTCGCTGTTACTGGCAGTTGCCCATTGTTAGGAAGCTGAACGAGAATTGGGAGTTTAAATCGTGAGCAGTTACTGAACTCTGCAGCTGGGCCAGGCAGTCTGTCAGAGGGGCTGGAAGCAGAGCAGAGAACTCCCTGCAAGAGCCTGAAATCACCACCACACAGCTTCCATCAGCTGCATCAAAAGCGATGTGTGCACAGTGGAAGATGGATCAGAGGGAAAGGGATTAGTTCTAGGTCAAGGACAGGGGAGATATGCCACCTTTTCATGAGGTTTAATTAATATAAAATATAGAAAAGTGACACCTGTAGTTTTCCCCCCTCATCACTTTCACCACATTGACATGTTTTTGTCGTCCTTTGCATTCTGCCAAAGAAGAACTCTGAAAGGGAACAGGGTTAAGGTTTTAGGAACTGAATGTGTGTATAAGCAACCCAGGTTCTCTTCTTCTTGTACAAGTCAGAGGCACAGAGACCAACATGTTGGCATTAGGATTTTTTTTTATTCTTTCTCTGGCGATTATATTGAGAGTGGACTATATCTGAGTACTGCAGCAAAATAGCTGCAGATGCCATAAAAATGCATAGATAAATGGCTACCAGTTCACTTAAGAGGTCTTAACCCAGCTTTCTATATGCAAACCCTGTCTATTTTAGTTTTAAATGTATGCTCATACATTTTTTAGAAACCCAAAGAAATATCGCTTTTCAAGGTTAGATTGATGTTTAAGGTCCATTAAAGCAACAAACAAAAAATCCTCAGTTATAGAGAAAACAGATAACTCTAATGTACTTTCTCACACCAGCATTCTAACTCTATCAGTTAGATACGCTTTAAATAATATTCTTGTCATTGTAAAATACAGCTTTTAACCAGGGGACTGTCGAAGAAAGCCACCATTCTGATATACAGGGGTTGGGAACTTCCTGTATAAGAGGGCCATCCTATTTTATGCAAGTGCATTTGTTTTGGGGTTTTTTTTTGGGGGGGGGAGGGGAATGTTGGGGATGTCTAATTATTTCAAGTGGCCAGAAATCAAACAATAATTGTCCGAAATAGAAATACACAAAGTCTTTTTGCCAGGTCTCCAAAAAGTATATAAAGGAGAAAAGTAAAATAAGTATTTGTTTTGATAGTGTTTTGACACTAGCGCTGAAGAGGACTTCCATTTGTATCAGTTGTGTGTGGATAGAAGTTAATTTGTAATTCTGGTCATCTGGTTGGCTCCGTACTTAACGGCATCTGTGACCTTTTCCATTTGAGAAAGGGGCTGTGTCTCCTCCTCGTGGAACAGCACCAGGACGGGTAGAGAATAATTATCAAAAGATTTAGGGCACTCGGGTTTCATGTAGAGCTTTGGCTTCGCTGGAGCCTTCCTGGGATAGAATATTTTAGGCTGACGGCCTGGGATGGTAACATTCTTTGGGGTTTGAATAAAACTGAGAATTCATGCTCCGTTCCATTTGGCCAGATGCCTTTTCTAGTGTTTGTGTCTCGGTGTCTGACGGATGCCGGTGCTGGGACCCTTGTAGAAAGCCTGAGTCTTTCTGTACCACTCAGTTTCATGATACTCTTCTGCTTACTTTTCTTGGCTTGAAATTTTAAACTAGCTTTTAAAATACCTCATATTCAGCTCTTATTGCTTTTATTTTCTGTTTCTCTAAAGATAGGGTGATGAAACAAATATGAACAAACAAAAAGTGAACCGAACAAAGATGTCTACTTCCTGGTTTAAAAAAAAAAGTTTTAGGATCATTATTCCCATTTTCATTAATATTGATGAATAAATATTTAATCCCATTTTCAATTGTGTATCTCAGTTAATTGACAGAAAAGATGCTGTCCACTGATTTATGGAGAAGCATTAGTTATAAAGATGTCACACCTACAGAAACAATTTGAGCTAAGGTATCAAAACATTTGTTTGTATGGTTTTAAGGAAAATGTTACATCTGGTAAAAATTTATCAGTTTTGTAGTATGATCAAAATTAATTTCTTTAAAATAAATGTAGATATTTTGCTTTAGTTTTATGTAATGAAAGGTTCAAGATTTGTTTAGAATAAAAATAATGATGGTATGACTCTCCTAAAACACACTGAAATAGTTTTGAAATGTTTAACTTGTAATTTCTAATGAAAAAATAGGATCTTAGAAAGAGAAGTAATTAGCTATATTTTAGATGGTCTATTATAATACTCATTTCTGTGAATTCATTAGAATTTCAAATATTATCCCACTATAAGTTTAGCTGCTTTTCCAAGTTTTAGGCACAGGCCTGGTATTTGTCTTTGCAGTTCATTCTGAAAGGGCTTTTCTACAAACTTTTGATACATTACAATTTCTGGTTTTGTTTATTGTAACAAATAGCAATTGTCACAGTATGAGAAAAATTCTTTTGGTAGAGTTAAATTTTTAAAACCACCTCTTTATGGCTTCTGATAGTTTAATTGTTGACCCCACCTAATTTTATGTTGTATTTACCAGTTTAATATTGTCTGAAAATTCTAAAGTAGACATAACCCTTCTTATGATTAAGATATTCATAATCTGAAAGTTGGGAATCTTTTAGTAGCACAGATTAACATTTCTAGGTGAAAGGTCCTTGGGAGTACCACTTCTTTGTGCAGTCTCTCTAGGAAAGACAAGAGATGCTACAGCTAGGTCTGGGTCCCAGAGTCAGCCACCCTTTCAGTTTGGTCAGGGTTATATGCTGTAACTCTTGATTATGTATTGGCTTTTTGTTAAGAGAAAGTCAAATTAAAGATGGCTGATGCTGAACCTGTGACATCAAGGTAGACGTTAGGATTCACCCTTTTGTATATAGAGAGATGTTTTACATTTTTTATTTCAAATAATTATTTTTGTCTGTTGTCCTGAATCTCTGAATTCTCTTTGAGATGTGGCAACTGATTTTTTCTCTTTTCTCCCAAACATATGACTATGCTTGCTTCTTATTCCATGAGATTCTTTTGAAAGTTCATTTTATCTCATTCTATAAGTAAATGTTATTTTAAGTTATCATACTTAGAAATTCACCCAATAGAAAGAATTTTTTTAATTAAAAAAATGTCTTTTTTTTTAAAGAAATCAATTCTGTAAATGCTTATAAGACTCTGCTTTTACTAATAAACTCGTTTGGGATTTCCAGATGCCTCAGTATAACAGGAAAACATTTACCGGTGAAGGAAGCTACAGCCTAGGAAAACCTTGTCTGGGCTACTGCTTACTTCCAATGCAAGCGCTAGAACATTGGGATTTTGGAATTGAGGGATGCAAGTCTGTGCTGTTGTCTGGGTTGCTTTCTATACAAGCTTCTAAATAAGTCCTTTATTATCATCAGACTCAAGCATCTAATATGTATAGTGGAGGATGAAGCTGTTATCAGACCTCAGTGTATAAATAATGAGGAAGTGAGTTTAGAACCCTCTTTGCATTGGAGAATGGTTCTGGAGAGCTTCAGTTACTGACCCAGCACAAAGGAAACTACTGGAGGTTAAAAATAAAAAAAAAAACAAAAACAAAAAAAACAAGCATTTGTGCTAAACCCTCCTGCACACACCCCTACCTACAACTCTTTTTCTGTCTTTTCTCCATCAATCCTGTCAATTTTTTGACATCCTCCTTCTTAGTTCATAGGCTGAACCTTTTGAGAAAGTCTGGCACCTCTGTTCCACTTTCTCTCACAGATCCCGTAATTTTGGCTATATTCTTTATGTTTTTCAGATTCAAGTCAATCTGAAAGTCCCAGCCAGCCAAGTGACGCTGACATTAAGGACCAGCCAGAAAATGGTAAGTTTAGCATCGTTCTCTGTGCTTCTGTCTCAGAGTCCACAGGGGCCAGCAGCCAAGGCTGCCCTGTGGACGCTCACAGTAAACTGAGGATTCACAGAGAAAACTCAAGAGGAATCCTGGCAGCCCCAGCCCCCACCCCAGTCCCTCTCTATGAAGGCCCTCACCAGAACATTTAACTCTCTGGAAATGTGAGAGGAGGGTTGGAGGCACCAAGGCACATTCTTGGGCAGCGTGAAAGAAGGACCACAGACTTCCCATGTCATTTTATAATAGCTCCTTTGAAAGTGGGAAATGCCCAAAGATACTCACTGAAGATTATGCAAGGACAAGCAGTCTTCAGGATAATTTAGAGCTTAACCCTTTGCAAATTGTCTTAAGAAAGTACCATATCCTCAAAGGCTTTTCCCCTATAAATTGTCTAAAATAAAATAGCAAGAGAATGCTAGGTCCCTCAATTTTATAAATGGAGCAAGCCCCTCACTTGTTTTCCTCTCGTCCCTTTCCCTGTCTGCAGTAGAGGGGATTGAACCCAGAGCCCCGGCATGCCAGGCAGGTTCTCTGCCACTGAGTCACAGGCATGCCAGGCAGGTCCTCTGCCACTGAGTCCCATCTCATATCTATGTGAAGTTACTATTATAGAAATCTTTCAAAGAATGAAAACATACTTTATATTTAACAATGCCTTGTGAAATATTCCAAATTTATGACATACACCGAAAGGATGAGAAGCAAAGTTATAGGTTGTAATATTAGGTTGAGCAAGACCACTCATTTAATAAAAATGGCAGTCTCTATCATAGGCCAATTTATTGGTATCTTGTAAAATCCTCAAATAAATGACTAACCTCTCAGGCTATTTGTTAATTTATCTAAGTATTCACCCAATACTGAGGATTTTAGTATTACCTTAGTGAAAATTAAGTAAGGTAATAAATACATTTAACGTACTTGCCAAATCTCTTTCAATGACTTTATCTTAAATGAACACCTATGCTACTAGTGTTCAGGATGCCCCGCCCCCATTTTCCTTGCCTATACAATGCTATCCTTTTTATTTTTCATCTCCTGCTGCATGAGTGAGAATTCTTCTCTTCTCCTCTCCTCTCTTCTTCCCACTCTTTTTCTGTTTTTCATTTTTTTCCCATTTTGACCTCCAGTTTGTTATCTGGAAAGGATACATAAAATGAATGATTTGGTATTGTGTGATGGAGGGCTCACCTGACCAAGTTAGAAATTCTATCACTAATCGTTCAGAACACTTTTTATCTTGTTAATTCTGGAAACTCTCTGTTGCAATTCTCCACTGTGATGGTAAATATGAACTGACAGTTCCTCTTCTCATCCTAGTATTTTGGTAAGATTTCCTTTATCTTTTTTCTTTTCAAGAGGCAGTTAAGAAAGATTGGGAGATACCCCCAAGATTAAGTGTGTGTGTGTGTGTGTGTGTGTGTGTGTGTGTGTGCCAAACAGCTGCATATTAATTTTTGTTGGCAATTTAAGTAGCAATATCTAGAGATTTGCTTTATTTTTGGCCTGGCTGCTGATGCCTTAAATGTCTATTTTTCATAAAATCTATTTGTACTAAGATTCCTGAAGTTGTGTCCAAAGATACTTTATTTTTATCTTAAAAATTGGTAAGCTGTAGGGTATGTGGCTCACATATTTAGGTCTGGATACCACTCCAGCAGGTTGCGATTCATCTGTCTTCATAAAATGGCCGGCAAGCTGTTCGCATGCAAATATAAACCGAGGGGGGAGAGGCCTGGCACACCTCTCTGGAGCTGCCTGCAATACCAAAATTGCACATTTTCCATCCAAAAAGCATCCCACGACTCAGCCCGGTGTTTAGGCCAAAGGCATGGTGATATCAGCCAAGTTCACTTTTAACTGGGATGACTTGGTGCTACCTCAAGGATTCATGAGTATGAGTTCAAAGAAGTGAAGTGTTTGTGTCCAAGAGATAAATTAACAAATTCCTACTTTTCAAGAGTCAGTGGTTTTTGTTGTTGTTATTTTTAAGAAAAAGCAGTTGTATCTTAGCCCTCTCTACTGGAAAAGGTTAGCATATTCCTTTCTTCATCTGCTCTTTGTCAGCCTCACCGATCATTACAGGAAGAAAAATATAATTTCTTTTTTTAAAGACACATAATTGCAAAGGGAATGAGTGATGGTTTGGGGGCAAGGTGTTCGTGTGCGCTAGGGTACCTTCTATTCTTCCTGATTGACTGTGTGTCCGTTATTGCCAGCCTGTGAGCATGAATTGAATGTGAGTTTTTGAATGGTTTTGTTTTGAAAGCACAACCTCTTATAGGCATATCAGTTAAGCTCTATGAAGTTTTGGAATCTTGCTGTGTGATGGCCTGACAGAATCTGTTCTTCAAATGAAGTGGAACGCATTGTTCCTTCCTTATTAATTAGCACACACAAGAGAAAACAAGCTTTTTCTCCTAGGTCTCGAGAAAGGTAATGGGAAGCAAATGGTAGTCCCAGTAAACCTTAGAGAGTGAATAAATGGTAACACTCTGTTTCACCTATAGGTATCAGCTAGACCATGCAAATCTACCTACAGCCATTAGGTAGGCTATGCAACTGTACCTACAGCCAGTAGCTATCCTATGCAACTTTACATATAGCCATCAGCTAGGCCATGTAACTCTACCTAAAGCAAATGCAACTGGCTTTTCCCACTGTAGCCAGTCTTCTGTGTTCTGTAGAATTGTGTTTTCCTTGCTCATACCCTCTTAAGACTCAATCTCCAGAAAACACAAATCTTTGAGCAATTAGAGTAGTAGATGGAAAAATTTTAAGGAATTATCTGGAACCCAGAGATAAAGTACCAATTCAAAATTGATATAATCTAATGGTTAAAACTGCCTCTAGAGCCATACAAACCTGTGTTCAAATTAAATAGTAGCTAGGTGAGTAAAAGAGTTTCTTCCATACACTTAATTTTCTTGTAAGCACAGTAGAAATACTAAAAGGAACCTATAACACAAGTATCGAAGTGAGTGTAGGTGGGAATAGTATAAGGCCTCACTCATAGGAAGAGTCCAGAGGTTCTTCAGGTAAGGCTTGCTGTAAATACCCACACTATTCAAGTAGTGGAGTCCTGGGTCAGAAGGAATCATGTCAAAAATAAACCAGAATTTCCAGAGCCATTTTTTGTAGATAGCCTCTTAGATGCCTGGCAGTAAGTTCCTTCTTAAGTCCTACAATCCCAGAGTAGACATCTACTTCACTTTAGCTATGGCCTCAATCCATTCATCATCCATGAGCATAAGGACTAGTGAACAGCAGAAGAGATTCAGGGACCTCCAGGAATGTGTGTTTCAGAAGAGAGGTGTCCTATGAAGTAGAAACTCTGCCTTGATTTCTTTAAAAATATTAGCTACGTTTAAAAAAAAAAAACCTGGGGTATAATCCAAGTAGAATCTGTGAAATACTGGAAATTGTGTTGGGAATATAGCACAATGGTGGATCACTTGCCTACTCTGGTGAGGCTCCATATTCAAACCCAGCCCCATGATAAAAAGAATAAAGAAAAGAAACCAAAAGAAGCAAACCAACATTAAATGAAAGAAAATACCCCCCCAAAAAACCCAAACAACCAAACCAATAAAAGCCTATGAACTGACTAACTCATGACAAAATCACTTGAAATAGGTCATACACACCACTCAACTCTTCACTTTGAACACAAACATACAATGCAAGGGTATTGCTTAATAAATAGAATCAGTATGTTGATAAATGTTGTCAGTACCCTTATATGTTTTGTATATTTCTTCACTGTTGAGTTGCCATAAAGGTTTTAGGGAGGAGGAGCGTCTCTGGAGAAGTTGGACATATCCAATTTGTGTTCCCATAGGCAGAAATATCTAGAATTAACCTGTTGTTTCAGAAGCCAAAGCTACAGTGAGTAGATCAAGCTTAGCTGTCCCAGAGCATGTGTAGTTAGCATGGGGTCCATTTGAAAAATCTAGGGCATGCAGTTTAGATGATGCTTCCACCTCCGATGTATCCAGTTCATCACTAATGAGAGCAAAGTTTGTGAGATATCATTTCTACTTAATCAAGGTCCCATTCAGTTGGACCATAGAGAATCAGGGGCCAGTCAGCACAGGCAGACCTCAGACACATTCCCCACTGGGTCTGACATCAGTGAAAGCACCCAGAAGTAAAAATGGGCAGGGCAAAATTCCATTATTAGAAAGAGAAGAGCTATCTATGTTCATCCCATTCACCACAGTCAGCCAATAATAACCATACCTTAGTTGTTATTGATAGTGAGAATCCTTGTAAGTACTGAGGTCGTTTTCTTTGGATTCACTGGTGCTTGCTTCTATGTAACAGCTCTATGATGTTGCCACATTGACCCTCAGATGGGCCTCTGCAATTAGAGGAAAGCCATTAATCATGACACTTGCCCTAGATTTTGAAATTATGCAGCTCTCCCTGCCACCTGGAATATTGACTCTAGCTATTTTTTTTTATTTGTTTGGTTTTTGACTGTGGTTTTGATGTTGACTAATTTAATTTATTCCAGTCCCATCTCAAATTGTGAAACTCATCATCACTATTAAATGTTACTAGACAAACAAAGAATCAGCTGATCTTTCCTGTAATTGTTATTACTTTATTAGTTCTCATTTTCACTAATTTCTGTACATAGTTTGAATATTTTAATATTTTCCAAACAAGTTGTAAGGGTACTGACTTCCTAGCTTAACATTTATATGTAGATATACTTTGCAAGTTGGGAGTAAGATAAGAAAACTGTAAATTTCTTTTTCTCTTTTGGAAAAATTTTTTTTAAATCTGGTAAATGTTCTTATACAAAGTCAACTTAATATTTTCTTTTCTCTACTTCCTCCACAAATATGATAGATGTGTTGCCATATTAAATCACAATGTTAATAACATGGAAAAGTCAGAAAAGTCAATTATTTCAACCTGAATAAATTGTGACTGCAGGGAGGACTTCTTCCATGAGAGGC